TGAGGGTTTTAAAGGACAATTATCGCGATCAACTATTGCGGGCAATTGTACTCTGTCATGCACCAGTATTCCATAGTTAGCTTCTCAGTAGAAAAAGAAGCAGAAAAATCTTCGGGAACACCTTGAACCCAAACCTACCTTATTCAGCAGTGGGGGCGGGGCCTGGACGAGTGTGCCGGGCGTGGCTGCCAGAATTCGATGCGGCAGCCGCAATTGCGTCCCAACTTTCGAAATAGGATACTTTCGAACGTAAGGCAGCGTTCATACTTGTAGCGCTACAGCGTCGCGCTACAGCGTAGCGCTACAGCGCCGCTTCGCAACGTACTGCAATTTCCAACGATGGATGATGATTAGAGTTGCTTACAGAGAAAAATTGGGAATTGTTGCTGCGAGTCTTTCCTTGAAGAATAATTGACAGAGAAAAAAAAGAAGAAAGGTTTAATATGACCAACAAACCCCACTTGACAACAAATCTCCCTACCATTGGAAAAGCAAGCACTACATTCCATAAGCAAAAAAAACTCTAATGGTTCCGCACTTTCACACATGTTTACAAGCCTGACCGAAGTAAGACCTTTAGCTGAGCTATGAGCCAACTTTGGCAAAATGCCAGTGGGACCGCGGGCTTAAAGGACGGCGCAAGCTTTAAATGGAACGGATGCTAGTCCAGGGACCAGGACGCATCTGTCCACCTACCGTCTCCGTGAGCCTAGCGAGCCTTGTCGAAATTGCGATAACTTCCTCATCGCGCGCCATTGATGGATAAAAGCGGGATCATCTTCATCAAGGCGCAGAGGGTTCCAGAAGGCGCGAAGTCATTTTGAAGGCCTCTCGAGCGCGGATACTGTCTTTAAGGATCAAGGTAAAGACTTCATTTTACTGACAACATGGTGTTATTACAAAAAAACCTGGTTTCAACCTAGGATTTTTTGAATTATTTTAAAACTTTCTGACAGTCTCAGTAATTTCTATATCTTTTTGATTTTTCAGTGCCGGATGGGGTTGTTCCGCTTTTGCTGAAACGTCTTGTTTTGTAAATATTTACCCTTAGCGTCCCATTTCTCGTCATTCATGCCAAAATTGCCGAGGTGGGATAGTTCGACTTCATGACGACTATCGCAACTGTTTGGCGAGCGAAGACCGCGCTGTAGGCCTGTTTTGGCACCTGTAGCTTGACTGCAAGGGCAGTCATGAGTTATATTTTCGCGTTTGGTGAAAGTGGTATTTGTTTGCAAGGGAGAAAATTATCCCCAGGACAAGTTTTCGGCAAGGTTGGTGATTTTGAGGTGTCTCGCGCCACGATCAGTGTGTTTTTTAGTGAAAACGTCTTGATTGCTATCATATATTTGCATTCAAAGCAACCAAATAAATCCCGAGGTAAGTTCCGTTAAAAATCAAGCCTGAAATCCGGTAAACGGATAATAAAGACGCGAGTTTTGTTAACTCCGATATTCAAAAATATCCAGCTATCATAGTAACTTAGGTGAAGGTGTTCAGTAATTGTTTCTCTCTCATTTTCAGATGTAGTTTGTGCCGATTCGACACGTGTAAAATTGAAATTGGGTGAAGAAGTCTATGGTGACTATATCCACGCCAATTACGTCATTTCTCCACTATTAACAACCAAATTTATTTGTACTCAGGTACGTGGACCACTCATTCATTTGGCCAGCTGTCTCTGTGTTTTCACATTAAGTAATACCAAAAAAATTAAAACAAGGCGAAAAATTGCCTTTTTGAACATTATGATGGTTTTGCTGAACCCCAGACCCAATAAATCGACTAGTAAAATGCAGTTATTTCCTGGAATACTTTACTTGTTAATCCGGCTCAGTTTGGTTCCGTGAGGGCCATATTGCAAAGAGCGAAGCTTGTACAGGCCACTTTGTGAAGACCTGTAAATTCCTGTTTGGCTCACTTGCACCATTTCGCAGCCTGCCAAGAGTTCACAGGTCTTACCAAAGTGGAACCTGTTAGAACATGAACTAACGGAAAGTACTAGCGGAAGTGCAAAGTGCCCCCACTCCCAGGCTGATAGCGCCGAATACTAATAGAACTCTTGGAAGTACAAAGTGCGGTTCATCGCCTGTGCCAAGTTCATTCCTCCGCCTCAGTACTTCTAAGTGAAAGTGCCTGCAGGCCGTCTCACGAGGCGTGGTCAGATGGGTGATGACTAACAGTCGTCATAGAAACTCCACGTTTCATGTGTATCGGGCAAATCATGTGATCCAGGGCTGCTTTCGCGTTAGCCTAGGTGTTTTCGCATTAGCCTAGGGGTTGGCGCTCAAAAATTATAGCAGAGCTGCTTCTCATTAAAGCCGGCTAGGAATGAAGAAAACAGCACAGTAAGCAGATAATCCGTGGAATGCGGCTCTGAATTTGCAGCTGTCCCAGCGGATGGATGAAAATAGCAGTAGCGTCATTTTCTCCATCAGTGTTGCTTCTTTCTGAGTGTTATCCTCACTAACCCTTTTTGCCGGCAGTGAGGATATATCTAGGGGCGGGATTTAACGTGATGGGCGGGGCTCCTGGAGTAGCACATTCCTCTGTTCAATATTTAGTTGCAGAATCAACACTTATGCAGTAATTGTCCCCGCAAAGGAAAAGGCATCTCAAAGGGTGTGGCTTGGAACGCTGCAGGGCACCTTTTCCTCCAATTTTGCGGCAGTCAGGATGACATTCGTTACCAGAAAAGGTCCTGGCTGCACTGCAATCCACGCCCCGTCATATGCCACCTGCAGCCGCACTCGGTGCTGCACCCCGGGTTCGAGTCTACCCTTAGGACTTTTGCCCATAAGTCAGAATTCTCGTAAATAGCTTTCGCAGCGGACCTGTGGTCCTGTGACCGTTATAACAGCAGTTATCCTTATGAAAAAAAAATTCCACAAGCATTGTACAAGGGAGATAACATCTTAGTTATGAAGCGCCTGCCACGGTTGTGTCACTCGCGTGCAGGTCCAGAGTCCTGTCCCGCTGGTATTGGAAGGACACGAATTACGTTCAGTCTTTCTGGACAATCTTAGGGCTGGGTTTCAAGATCTATGACTCAACCCTGTCAGCCAAACTGATCGTCTAGCGACCCTGGATTCTGGACATATGGGACTGACGGGTTCTGAACATACAATTACTAACCACTGGCCGATTCTAACTTGTCGGCGCGGTTCGGTCTTGCTAAGCTGAGCAAGGGGGTCAAAGGCACCTTGTGAAGCGCTGTAAACTCTCTGTTAACTATAAGGAACTCGGCTTTCGATCATTTCCCAGCTTCACGAAGAGTTTACAGTCTCACCAAAAGCAACCTGTTTATTAAGCGCGTGAATTAGTCAGAGGAATATTCACGGACGAAAGCGCTAAATCCCCTCCTCCTCGTCCCCTCCAACCCCTCAAGGAACATTGCCTATATCTCCAAAACGCCCAGTAATCCACTCACTTTGCGCGAAAGAAGTTCTAAGGGTACAGTCGGCAAGCGAGAAGTTTCGTTACGCTCCCGTCCCCTGCCCCGCCGCCTACCCTCCTCATTAAGGCTAACGGTCCACTGCGAATGAACTTTCGAGTCCCTTAAGCGTCTAGGGAATGTGTGTTGAACTTCGATTCCGGCAGATAAGGTTTCACTGAAAAAAAAACATCAAAAATCACCCTCAGTTGCGGCGATTTATTGATGACCTGCGTGGACATCAGGAAGTAAAGAATACGAACAAGAACTTCAACCCCCTCCTTTTCTCATGATTAAATTTTTTGTGAGCACCTTCTCCATTAATCTTTTCCAGGGTCCCTTACAATCTACAATTCACGATTTTTGGCGGATGATCTTCCAAGAGCGGATAGAGTCAATCCTAATGCTTTGCAAGTAAGCTGATTATTTATGTTTTCGTAGTTCCACTGTTTTTGTTTACATTTTGTGCTTCATTAAGAGGCTCGTGATTTGTCAGCTTTACAAGTTTTTGTAGAATCAGTGGGAAATTTTATTTTGAACCCATTCTGGTCCAGTCTTTCGCCTTCCACAGCAAGTGCCTATAAAAGGTGGACTAGGGGTACATTACGTTATATGTGAGACGACTGTCTGAGTACGACCTTTTCCGCGAAAAAAAAAGGGACAAGGTGCAGATCCCTTTCACTCGCTACGACCCCAAATTATTCGTCTCTTACGCATAATGGCTTGAAATTTTGGCTGTCAGGGGGGGGGGGAGGGCAGAGGAGGAGCGTGTTCACATTCGTAGACCACCCAGAAGTACTCATTGTTACTACGCAGCTCTTTTTTTTTTGTTTGTTCTAAAGCACGCCTTAGAATGAGAAAATCATACTTGAAAAAATCTCAAATTCGAATACGGACTTCTCTTCCCAATGGCCCAGATAAGAATAATCCTATGGGATTCGGCCCTACGATTGGGTAGCTGAGCCTGACACCTTTATAGTGTTTATTAACACGCTTTAAGACAGTAACTGAATAATGGAAAGTTTCTAGGCCATGTGAAGATGGTCGACCGAAGTGTTCGATCTATTGGCCTGAAGCGATAGGAGAGGCGACATCATTTGACACATTGGTGGTAAAAAACACCGGTGAAGACGTCGACGAATTTGCCACCACAACGTCGCTGATGGTGGAGTTGAATCCAACATACGGTATGGTATGCTTTCAGTGTTCAATATTTTCACTCAGAAATGAGGTAAAGCTGTGCCCCTTCTCAGTCCCTTGTTTCGGGTGCTCCAACCTTCTACTTCAACTCTGATACGTAGTGGATTTATGGATGCGATGTGGCCCATATAATCTTATGGGGGTCAGTCCGTGTGGACGTCATTGTTTTTATTCTTTTCGAGCAGGTCTGGTATCATTTACCCTACCCAGGAAGTAAGGAAGACTGAGAGCACCTTCCTGAAGTTTTGCATTTTTGCCAAATGCTAATTTTTTGCCAATTCCCCAATTCCCCCTTACGAACTTCTTCCTCCGGTTCGGCCGGCTCCCAAAACCGGCAGATCGTCTTACCATGAATTTACGAAAATTTACCGTTGAGCATGAATGGGGAAATGGGGACAGTTGCAGATGCTATACAATTTTCGCCACTTGGAAATGCCTTTCCCTCATGGAGGTTCACGCCCACTGCTGGTGTCCCACGGAGAATGTCGGTCCCCGCTTGTCTAAACATTCTCTTGCCTTACACCGTCTGGTATCTCATTCTGATGCTCATTGTTTCTCCACCCGTTTCCCACATAATACTCGAGTTCGACTGCAACCAAGTAGGGCCTTGTTCAAGGCCTTTCGACAACTGCTTTTGTTTTTTTACCACTGACAAGTCCTTTAGTCCCTTAAAATTCCTATTACTCGGCATTCAATAGTTTTTTCGCAGCGCTCTGTCACATAGTATTGACAGAAGTAATTGCCAGGAGTCACTCGGTGTTGCTTGATGTGTTTCTTTACCCTTCTTGCATTTTGCGGCACTTTTGCCCCCGCCTGTTGTCTTTAGTGTCGCCAGCAGTCGTCCGTCCTATTCTTTCTTGCTATACCATAATTTCGTGCATTCTGTTCTTCAGTACTGTTACCGCTCTATTTTCCTTTTACGGCTTGCTGACTGTTTTTATCTCTTTACATATCTAGCATTGACAGCGTCTATATTCATCTAATATCGCTCAGTGTCGTCAGCACTTGTCTGGATCACCCGCTACTGGGAACCGTTACTTCATGCCTTCCTTGTCTTCCGAGTTTATAAGAAAACTTCTGC